CGCCCGTATGCCTCGCGAAAGAACCATGCCTGGGGGGGAGGGACCTGGCCGAATTAATCCGACGAACGGCGGCGTGCGCTATTGGATATGCTAGTATATTCGCTCGAGGCAGATGTTCCGCGTCACCTGGCCATTGAATGCAGACACGCGGGTCCGCTTGCAGTGAGTCAATGTATTGTAAAATATGCGAGGACACGAGTGTGGGTGTGGGTGTGGGTAATCTTCTACTTGTGCCCACAAACATTATTGCTGCCTGGGGTTGCGCGCACTCTCACCGGAAAAGGCTTTTTTTTCTATTAGGCAGGCGTTACGAGGCAAGAACAGTGGCATTTCAGCCATATGTACGAGGCAGAGGCGTGTATCCACATTCATCCACCGCCTACGGGACTATGCGCAGACACAAGGGGCCAGGGTCTGCCGCACTGGCCAAAAGTCGGTCAACTCAAAACTTTGCACCGCTGGCCCCAGTGCGACAGTTTTTCTAGCCTCGCATGTCAAACAAAGCGTATGAATGAGGTGGTGTGATTAGCGTGCATGGCGCAGAGATAGCAGACCCGTCACCTGATGCATGTGTGCAGATCATTTTTTAGAGTAGTACGACGAGTGATCTTTGATTCATGTTCTAGCTAAGGGCGGGAATCTCGACCAATCTGCTTGGGAGATGTCAAACCGCCGGTACCAAAATGTCCCAAAATGTCCCTCCTCCCATTGTACCAAATGCTCCAGAGTAGAGTAGTAGCTTCCTGATGTCCTTGTTGACACTTCTCACCGCCCTGCGGTCCATGCCAATATACCCACAAATAAACAAACAAAGACATGCCAATAAAAAAACAAAGGATATCATGCCAAACACAATGCCACGCTATGCTGTAAAAATGACTCGCTCGCTAAAAAATGCTGGATCGGAAATCATGAGGTCGGAACATGTCCATGTGCTGGCCTAATAACTTGAGATGAGCGGAGAGCTGGTGTCCATGAACAGTGGCTGGTCGTGTTCCAGGTATTGTGGCTTTGGCTTGGTGTCGTAGAAGGTTGTTGTGAGCATGCCCTCCTTGTCTGAGAAGTTGAGGGTTGATTGTGGTGGCGATGTTGGTGGTGACTCGTCGTCCGACTCCTCTTCGAATGTGAGCTCGGGTGGTGATTGCGATTGCGAGGGTACACGGGTGAGGGCAAGTTCAGAGTGGTCCTCCATGTCATCGTAGAAGTCGTCCTCGTCCTCCGAGTCGTCCTCGTCCACCTCCATTGTGCTGATTTGTACTGGTGCGGATGCGATGCGACGGGGCATGGGGATCATGTCAAAGTCGTCGTCATTGTCGGAGTCGGAGTCGGAAACGGAGGAGTCGTCGTCTTCGTCGTCGTCAAGCTCCTCGGCAATGCTGTCGGCCCACTGGATGTGTCGGGGCTCCTCAGCCTTGGAGGCCTTGGCCATGGTCTGGTTGAACCACTGCTCTTGCTGGCGTTCGGCGTCTTGGAGTTCGATCATGAGGCTGTCGAGGAGGTTTGCGTGTCCGACGAGCAGGCGGAGGTTGTGGTCGGCCCTGCATGCCTCCTTGCCGAGCTTGGAGCGGGCAGAGGCAGCAATGTAGTAGGTCTGGGTGAGAGACATCTTTTGCTTCTTGGCTGGTGGTGCGGCGACGAAGTGGGAGCGGGTGGTCTCGGCCGTGAAAGGCTCAAAGGAGGTTTGGATGCGGAGGTGAGATGAGGAAGGCATGGCTGGTTAAGTTGTAGGCACAAAGTATAAGAAGAGCTAAAAAATGTGAGTCAGTTTGGTTGTGACTGGATAGTGGCCAGGGTATGACGAACCCGTTGTGCAGTAGCCGTGTTGGGGGAAGGTGATGCGAGGCTGGGATATGGATGCAGTGTGTCGATATCGATGTAGATGGTTACTCGAGGTGATGTCAAGACTATATGATACTGTGGTTTGGTGGAGCTGGTAGTGGAGGGCCAAAAGCAGCAGAGGGCGGGCGGGCGTGTTTCTTATGTTTCCCTGACGCATGGAGGACGAGCATGATGGATAACGGGCGGGCGGGGACTATTGGCGTGTTTCCACCGCTCTTGGCCGAGCAGTGCTCAGCGCAAGGACGGATGCGGTGAGCTAGCAGAGGATGATTCACACTGCGCGACAGGGGTCTTAGCGTGGCTTACGATACCCTGCCCGTCTCCGTCGGACGTAAAGACTTTCGCCCGTCACTACGCGGAGCCCGAGCAGTGCGTATTCGTAGTCGATGCACGTCGTCGTCGACATGGACATGGATGGACATGGACCTGGCTAAACGCCGTCGTCCAAGGTTTCTTTACTCCGTCGGCGTTTACTCACCACCACTCGAGGCATCCATTGCATCATCTATTCGTCCGCCCTGTTTGGCTGCCTGTCATCTGTCTGCCTGCCAGCTTTTTCTTTTTGCTTTTGGCGTTTTCGCGTTCGCCTCGCACTGCGCACCTTGGGCAGACCCTGCTGCCATTGTTTGGGGGAGGGGGCGGGCTCCTTGTGCGCTGTCCGGCTAGAGGATGCCTTGGGCGAGATGGAGCCCTGCCAGGCTGCCTGCTGGCTGTGGTTCCAGGATGCGCTGTCGTAAGGCTAAGCCACGGGCCTCTCCACAGGCTGAGCGGTCAGCCCTTCATCTGTGGCTGTCGCGACGCGGCCCCCATCACTGTCTTGCTTGCGGGGCCTCTTACACCCTTCATTCGACTGCTAGTAGACGGTTGGGCGTTGCAAGGCTGCTCGGGCCCGAGTCTACTACCGGCGCCGGTCCTGGTATTACTCTCACGCTGCCGACTGCTATCCTAAAGTTTCTCGTACTGCCTCCACCATGTAGTGTACACGTTCATCTCAGCCAATCTCGGCGGGCCAGCCACACCGGCGACTGGCTGCCCTTGGCTCGCCTATCCGGCACGGTTGGTGCGGAAAAGCACTGCTCGGCCGACGAGTACGACAGAGGCAGAGAACCTTGGTAACCTCAGTGCCTAGCTGCCTAGGTACTCGGGGTTCCGGTTACCCATTCAACTTTCGTCCGTACTCTATACGCATGCCCATACAGTGCTCACGCTCAGTAGCTACCAGAAGCCACGATGCACGTCACATGCACTCATCGGCCACTCACTTGCACTCTTTTACACGCATCCCCGCCTCTGACAGTCTCATTACGACACGGTCCAGGCTCATCGCACAATCATCCTCAATGGCACATCTAAAACCCCGATTACAAACACTGCTGCCCGCGTCTCGCTGTAGGGCGCGCGGGATTGGTGGAGACGTCGGCTTTGTCATGTGTGCTGAAAAATGCCATCTGACAAAGCCGCTAATTAGCAAGCCTTGCATGAACATGAACCGCTAGACTCCCAAACACATTACTGTTCCTCATACTCGATTGCAAATCTTGAAATTGCGTGCTTCCATCCCACGTCACTTGCCCTCTCCACACGTCGGGCGCACTGCGACAGGAGACTGCGACTCCGTCCTCGCCGCCGGCTGGGCATCGACTCGTAACAAGAGGCTGCTACACTACTACACCGTGTCGTGCCAGAGCCAGAGCCAGAGTCAGATCCAGGGACCGACCAGGGACTCGGTGGCCGTGCGCTTTCAACACCTTGTCCCCGCTCCGCCCTTTCCACTGCACTGGCGCACCACTTCATGGACGAACGATCCTAAACGAGCCAAGCCCAACAACCCATGGGCCCCTCCGCATGTCGCTACCCATACCTTTTCCGACGCAGCGCATCAGTGCTGCCTACGCCCACGACACGTATCCGCTATCCACTTCACCGCTGTGTTCGTCCTACCCTAGACAAAACTATGCGATTGCCGAGTCGATGGCTGTCTGCACTAAGTATGCACACTGCGGCACCGTAGCAACGCAACGCTGCGCTGCCATACCACGCCGTGTCAGGTCGACACAGGATGAGTCGACCGGTTGCCAGATGCGGCATGGAGCCCAGCCCCGCGCGACTAAGCCACCACAGCTCGACGACGACTCCAATACCGCATCAATATATTACTTTAAAGCATCTATTTTCGCGACTGCCTACATACTTACACGGCACGCCTACTCATCCTTCAGCGGAACCGAGGACATTCGCGTATACGTCCTGCTCAGCCCCCTCCGCATGCGACGTATTGACATACGCCTTTTCCGCGTCAATCTTCTCAATCACACTACTGTTTTTGGCAGGCGCTCAGATCACAGCCTTCGTATAGCCGGTGGCTGGGAAACGGCAAGCCACGCTTCCATGCTTCCGCTTCCAGTAATCTTCTCGAAGGCCCACTGCTTCCACCACCACTGACTAGCCCACCCACAACCATGCACCGTACCTTTCGACTGCGTCACACTGCATGCTTCGATGCCTTCTTCCTTCATGGATTACCCATTATTCCTTCTATGCATATTGCTGACATTCCTATCCTACGCGATTCTTCACCACGTCGTGCTTAACCCCTGTTGATTTCTGAGCGACCAGCCGACAATCTCCATGCATCACTAAGCACCAATCGTCTCACCATTGGCTCCCAACATTGACACATGAATTCTCTGTTCAACGCTAATCACCTGTATCATACCATAGGGGAATCGTACGAGAAACTCGTGCAGTCTGAAGCTTAACAAACCCCACAACGCAAACACTCGCAGCGGCATGTCGTCACACCGCGCAAGCGCTTTCAAATGCATTGCCAATGCTTATTCAAGGTGAAGAAAAATACGGTATTGGGACCTCAACTGCCATGCCATTTGCTGGTTGTGCGCAGAGTCCTTGTATTGCGTACGCCTTTGACGTATTTGCTATGGAGGGTCTAGACTACGACATGATAAGCACTCAATCGCGATCGACCCAAACTTGTGGGATCTGTCATTCCTGTCAACGATGTCATGGAAGCGACGAAAAGCAATCCAGTTCTAGACCTCATGCCCAGGGCCTGGCAACTTGCTTTTATTGATCTACAGTTGTACCGACAAGAAAAGTCTCGGGGTAACCGAATGAGACAAAGAAGACGAAACCCCAAGATTCGTCACAAGAGCAATCACAAGGCACTCTACCAGGAAAGCAGTATATCATCTGACTATGCTTGGAAAGAGGATACTGTCTCAAAGATCGACTGGTAGTCGCGCACACTAGACTCATCCCTACCCCAGAATCGCAAAATCAGGAACGCTAATAATCCGTTTCCGAGCGGTTCATGGCTCGTGTTTGGAAGCCCTTACTGCCTTGTTTCGACACATCATCTTGCTTGGGCCCCCAGGACAATTCAGTTTCCCTTCGACCGTTTCACGCCCGTAATCTCTCTGGATTATGCCTGCAATTCGGCATAATAGAAAACCAGGGGGTTGATTCAGGCATTGACGATCATGACAATCAAGGGTGGCCCGAAACTAATTCTCTTCTTCTTGACCAGGTTGCCGACTAGTGAAGAAATACAAATCAAGTCGCTTAGACGTATTCAAGAGTGAGGCTGTTGAGAAGTCAAGTTTGGCGAGACTCCTGAACATGACAGGAGCCCGGGATGTGCCTGACGCTAAAATCTATCATCATCCCAACCTACACCTCAGGGAAATGCCTGTCACGAATCTTGCAACTAGTAGTGATAATCACGCTGTTTACCGCTCGTTGGGCCGCGACACTTCAAACTGGTTTGTACCCTGCGGAACGTGCCGATAAACATATGTGGAGGAGCCCATTACCAACCCCCCTGAAGGGGTTCAACCCAGTGCTTGAACCCACATTGTGCGTGCTCTCGGTATGGCCACGATGATTCTGCAAAATATGCCCAACTGGGCTTCCAGCAGATCAACTTGTCCCACTATGAGTCGTTAGTGGCTGGTGTTTGGGTTGATGACATCTGTGTTGACGCTGTTTGGGTTGCAATGGCGAGCAGATACGCGCCGAACCTGGTAAATTGAATAACAGCATGTTTGGAACATCTTGTTCAAAGCGACATGCAAGCACTGGTCAACAAAGGATGTGCAGCAAATGACGTAGCCGTGTCCTCCAAGTCAACATAGGAGATGCAATGTAAACAATGGAAAATACCCCACGTGGCGCGGGCGTCGCGCGTTGCTACGCATGGTTAGCGTGAAACCCTTGATCACAACAAACATTGCATGTGTGTGTATCAACACCAGCCCTATCGCACCTGTATACCACAGTATTCGCCTACTGAGTTGTCAAGAGATTGGTAGTCGCAAAACAATTGAATTTTCATACTAATCATGGCCGATCCGGGTATGTTCTCGGTGCGCCGCCAGGTAAGTTTATGATGTGGCCCCCTCTTGTCGCATCTTCCTTCTTCCGTCCTCGACGTCTCTAACACGACACGCAGACTTTGGGCCCCGTCAACAACAACGTATCCGCCATTCCTATGCCAGCTTCCGCCATGAAGCGCCAGAGCTCCGTACATAATATGCAACCTAATCAGTTCCCTCCGAACCATGCGCGATCGCAGAGCGGGAGTAGAATGTCCCTCGCGCCTGGTCGACCCAGTCAACAACTCTTTCAACGCTCCTCTTCCGGTACAAATCTCGCCGAAGGCTTCCAGTCAGTACACCGCAACTCGACTAGTAATTTCGCAGCAAGCAGCGCGCGCAAGAGTTTCGCACCAGGCGCTTCCATCTTCCAAACACCAGCATCCTCCTCAGGCCCTACCTTTGAACAAAGCGCACAACGGAGAAGCAGTGTATTCAAATCGCGGACATCACATGCACCTGGTCAATCAGGCATCAAGCAATCCTTCTTCCAGACGGCACCTTTGCCGTCGGTTCCTCCTGCGGATCCACGACGACTCAAGGATCCAAGCACGCGCTCGCATATGGCACAGGAACTGATGGAGTACCTGACACACAACAACTTCGAGATGGAGTCCAAACATGTGCTCTCAAACAAAGCCATGACTTCGCCGACCCAGAAGGACTTTAACTGCATGTTCCAATGGCTGTACAACCGCATCGACCCAAGCTACCGCTTCCAGAAGTCGATCGATCAAGAAGTGCCTGTGTTGCTCAAGCAAATGCGGTACCCATTTGAAAAGTCCATTATGAAGTCACAAATTGCAGCTGTTGGCGGTAACAACTGGTACACGTTTCTGGGACTGCTTCATTGGATGATGCAACTCGCACGCCTTATGCAGGCATACGAGGCTGGTACATACGATGATGCGTGCTTCGAGGCAGGTTTCGATGTTTCTGGAGACCGTATCATCTTCGACTTCCTGTCAGATGCTTACAGCACCTGGTTATCAGCGGATGACGATGATGATGACGAAGAGGCACAAAAGAAGCACATGGAGCCTCACATTAGGACAATGGCCGCCAAGTTTGATGCGGCAAACGCTCAGCACCTCGAACAAGTCAACCTTCTAGAGGCCGAGCACAAGTACTTGCAGGATCAAATAGAGGAGCTAGGAAAGTCTGGTCCACGGATACAGAAGCTCGAGGAGCAAATCCGAATTTTGGAGGAGGACCGTGTCAAGTTTGAAAACTACAACAACTCAATGGAATCCAAGGTCAAGAAGTACACTGATCGATGCTCTTTCTTGGAGAAGTCGATTGAAGAGATTGAGGCTGAGCTGGAGGCATCAGAGAAGGAGCAGCAAGAGCTTCAAGCCATCATTGACGGCCGAGGCATGACCATCGCGGACATTGACCGCATGGCCAACGAACGGGACCGCCTTGACTCTTCTCTTCAGGCGACATCAGCACGCCTCGAAGAGTCCAAGAAGCGTGTTGCTGAAAAGGAGATTGCTGCCTCACGAAAGCTCGACGAGCTTGAACAGACTATTGAGCGCTATAACAACCTTGGCTATCAAATCGGCGTCATCCCCTCAACAGCCGTCAACGCAAAGGGCCAAGATTACGAACTCGTCCTTACCATAACGGACGCACCCAACTTTTCCGGCTCCCAAATGGGCGGCTCATCACAAGACGCCTCCGACCGTCTCCTTCACGACTCCGGGACAGGATACTCCCCCGCCCACCTCCTGAACCTCGATCTCCGCGGCACCGTAAAAGCCAACATCCTCTCTCTCCGCAAGGAAATCGCCGAGCGCCGCAACCAAGCGCTTGAAGCCGACATGAACAACCACGACCTCCTGGACAAGATCAAAGAAGCTATGGACGACAAGCAAGCCGAAGTCGAAGCCCTAGGCCACCGTGTCGCGCAAGCAGAAGAAGAGCTAGAGAAGCTACGTGAAATCACCAACACGCAAAAGAGCCAGTCCGACGCTCAGATTGAGCGCATGGAGAAGGAATTAGGCCGTATGCGTAGCGGACTTGGTGAATCAGTTCAGTTAATGGTTCAGCGCGAAATGGCCGTTAATATCGAGTATGTTCTTTCCCCATCCACCCTTCTCCCCCCCCCCCCCAAACCATCCTCTATCCCATTAAACCAGGACAAAACTAACAAGTGTGACTTAGATACGAACAACTCCAACTCCGCGCCAACGCCCTCCGTGAGGAACTTCACACAGAAATCGAGCGCATGCTCGACGACATTGTGCGCTTCAAGCTGCACGTGCAAAAATCGCTAGAAGAGTACGAGCAGTTTATCGCTGATGAAGTTGAGCGATCCTGTGAAGAACAGGACCTCCTCGCTGCGCAGGATGACGATGATACCGAGGGTATCGAGAAGGAGGAAGAAGAAGATGAGGAAATGGAGGATGCATAGATATTGATGCGTTTTTTTTCTTTCTCTTTCGGCTGAGCCGAGTTTGGGTGTTTTATGGTGGGGCTTAATGCGGGTGGGTTCTTACGACTTCACGAAAACCGGGAGTTTCCCTTGTTTACTTTTTGGGGGTGTTGTTGGTTGGCGCGTAATCTGAGGGAACTTGGGGTTTTTTCCCCCCTCCCTTCACCTTCTTGAGATACCTTACCCCCCCTTTTTTTTGTTTCTTGGGTTTTCCATCTATATCTGTTTCTGATTGAAATCCTATTTGCATATTTCCAAGAATTTCCATGATTTGAATTTTCTTCTATATTCATTCTAAAATCTCGTTTCCAAAAGCTGGGCTGTGGGGGTATCTAAACTATCTACATCTCTCTCTCTCTCTCTCTTTCATCTATCCACACATCCACATCTTACTCTCTCTTACTCTCACCAAAAAAAAACCCCCCAAAATCTCAGAAAAATGCCGAAACGTACTTTCCAAACCATCTCACCCCCCCATCAACCCCCTCCCACTCGTCAACATAAGATTACTCAACAACTCGACCTGACTTTTCAACCCCGCCATTTCAATCGTCTTTTCTTTGACTTCTTTGGTCTTGTCTGCGAGTAAACGGCGTAACTCTGCGTTTTCACGGCGTAGGCGTAGGACTTGGAGTGTTGTTGCTGGGGGGTCTGGGGAAGGCGAAGGAGGGGGTAAAGGGGGTAATGAAGGAGGTGGAAGAGGTGGTGGTGGAGTGTTGACGAGGGAAGGGTCGATTCTGGAGTCTTTTCGTACGGGGGAGGAGGGTTTAGTGGAAGGAGGATGAGAATGAGGAGGAGGGGAAAAGGCGGCGGGAGGTGGTTGGATGTGTGGCTGTGGGTGGGATTGTTCTGGTGGGATTGCAGGATCGATACCGTTGGAAAGAGTAATAGTAGTAGGAAGAGCATGGTCCTGAGCTTCGTCGTTTGAACTGTCACAGCCGTCGCCGAGTTGCTGGCCTGCTGCTTTGCGAGCACGCTTGATTTGTGCGCGGATGTTATAGACGTCGCGCTTGAGAATGTGAATGCCGGGGAGTCTGCGTTGGAGGACGTCGACGGTTCTTCCTACCCCGCGATCACGGCCTTGGTTCGGTTTACCCTTGCGGAGCATCTCTTGTTCAACGATTTTCCAGACTAGACCTCCACGTTCCAGACTATGTGTGGCCGGCTCTAGGGTTGGTGATGGGGGTTGTGCGTAGTCGTCTCCTCCTTCGCCTTCTGCTTCCACGTCCTCCAGAGTATCGTTTGTGCCCGGGAGCCGCCGTTTAGCAAGTTCCTCTTTTGCTGTTACACCTCCAATGCCAATGCGCCCTCCAACAAGACCCCAGGTCCTCTTCCGTTGTACCGCCCACCCCGCGCTGTCTCGACCAGGATGATTATGTTGCGCCTCGCCAACACGCAACAGCCACGTCCCATCCTCCAGCTTCTTTCCCTCGATCCACATCTTACAGCCCGTCTTGTAGCTGACTCTATTTTTTCTGACCCGCGTCTCGGCAGTCAACTTGTGCGTGTTCTTGGGTTGGCCATAGCAGACACAGGCGAGCTTGATACGAGAGCGGTTCTTGGCTGTTGTATTGATACTGAGGGCATAGCCATGCTGGGAGGCATGTGACTGGGCGTATTCGTGGAGAGCCTGCCATGAGGCGTGTACCGAGTCCTGAGGAGGCAGCATATCGAAATGCTGTTGACTGGGCGCGTCATTATGAGCAGCGAGCAGCGCTGAAGTCTGCGGGAGGCCCGCATATGGCGCTTCTGGTGCCGGGCTAGCATTCGTACAAGCATCATGGGGGCGCGGGGAAGAACGATGGCGCTTCTGTCGCTTGTTGGGCGTGTCGTCATCAGGCGCGTAGCAGTCTCCCCGGCGCGGGTGACCGTCGGCGCTCATCTGCGACGGTTGTGCATTGATGGAGGCCTCGTCGTCGTAGTACCCGGCCATATTGACGAGGTGGGCGGCGACATGATGGCGCGAGGGCGCAAAGCCATGGTAGGGCAGCGGTGGGGTGGCAGGGCCGATGGCGTGGTTGTACGTGGGGGATTTGTCCCAGGTGTGACGCTGGCCGAAGATGGCCGTCATGCTGCGTCGACAACTATCGCCCTCTGTTCTGCTGCGCTCTAGGTCCGGCCGCGGCCACAGGCTTCGAGGGCGGTTCAACATGGTTTGCGTACATGGCAGGTTCGATGTAAATTGCTTGCCATGTGTGCATTGGGCCATATTAGAACCGTGCCTCCAAGTAGTATACAGCATTTCCCCTTCTGGTACATTGTCGTTGGGGCAGCAAGCCCATTGGTCAACTATTACGACAGCCATTACAAAGGCAAAGAAACCGCCTCCTCACTCTCGCACCGTTACATCCACCCACATATCCTTGATGTCCCACAGTCCAAGCGAGTTGAACGTCTTCCACGGCTGCAGTGGATACGTCAAAGCCAGATCAAAGTTCCTCAACAGCTCAAACACAACCTTGTGTATCTCAATCAACGCAACATTCCGCCCCAAGCACACCCACCGACCATAGCCAAAGATCATATCGTTAGTCTTGGTCATCTTGGCCAAACGCTCCTTACCTACCTCATCTGTAGCATCAACGAGCCATCGTTCGGGCCGGAATATGGCGCAATCTTCCCCATAAAGCGCTCGGTTGTTGCGGTGCATTGTCAGGGCTGAGTATCCGATCAAAGTGCCACCCGGGATGAAGTATTCTTTCCCGTTGATAACAGCGACATCCCCCTCATCAGGGGCAATTTTTGAAAAGATGTTAGCAACAGGAGGCTGCATCCGCATCCCCTCTCGGACCACAGCACCCAGGTATGGCAGGCGGCGCGCTTGTGCATCCGAAACGATACCTGGAGAAACTGGGGCTTTGCCACTCTGGACTGCTGCGTCAATCTCGGCCTGCAGCTTTGCATATACTCGGGGGTGTTTCATAAGATAAAGCAAAATGATTCGGATAGCCGCGGCCGTGGTGTCAGAGCCAGCAAGGATCTGTTCAAACACCTCTTGGACTAAAACAATCAGCCCACTATCCGCCCACGCCTAGACTAGTACCATCACTTACAGAGCTCGTCTCCTGTGAGGCCGTGGCGGACAAAGGACGCAAACATGTCCGACTTTTCCTCGGTTGACTTTGAGCTTCTGGAAACAATAATCTTGCGTGCCTGGGCCATCATGTGGCCAAACCCAGTGGTATCCTTCTCAGAAGGACTAATGGCAGGCCCAATAATAGGCTTGTCCTTTAGCCAGGCTATTCCCATGGCAAATGCTGTGTTACCAATTTTCAAGCCTTCTTCACTTGACTTGATGTAGTTTTTAACATCACTGTCGGCTTTCAGGTCTCCAAATGGTTCTCCCAGGCTGACATGGCTGATGACATCCAACGTAAAGAAGGGAATCTTCTCCGCCAAATCCATGTGGACCGACGGGGCCTTTGAAGCCGCAGGGGATGCATATTTGCGCACCAAGTCTATGAGTTCCTTGACATGCTGGTCAATTGAAGGCTCCAATGTCGGGTTCTCCTTGCCAGAGTACTGCGATGCGTTAGCGATGAAGCCACCAACAAGTCAATAATTCACTCACGCCGGCAAGCATCTTTTTCCGACGCGCGTCGTGCCGGTCATTGTCGCATTCGGTAAAGACATTGTCTTTGCCCGTCTCGAAGCGGGCGGCATGATAATACCACGGGGATCGCCTATACGGGGAGCGCACGGCGTTGATGCGCATCCAGAAGTCTGGGTCAGAAGTGATGAGGTGGTTGGGTGCGATTCTCGCAATCGATCCTATATCGAACAGAGTTAGGACTTGTCCGGTGCCAGATCCGATGCGATTGATGCATACCGAATTTTTCACATACTTGGCCGTAGTACCTAGGGGATTCGCCGCCGATTACAGCTCTGGAATGCCACAGCCAAGAGAAACCCGTTGTCCTGGGACCGGCGAAATGTCTCAGACGCAAGTACTGGCGGATGCGGCCAATGACGAAAAGAAACCCCAGGACGAATACGATGGCCTGCAGGCGCAGTGAGACATTATCAAGCAAAGAACCCTCGGCAGCGTTGTCCATGGCCAGCTAGGAGTGGAGATGGCAGGCAAGGATGTGCTCGTTACTTTTGCTGGTAGCTGATAGAAGTGACGAGTTGGCGTTGTCGGTGGGGCACCCACCCGTGTGACGAAGGGTGCAGCGCAATGCAGAGTGGAGTATGGAAAAGATCACAAGAGTGGAGTACCGATACTCTGCAGCGTTTTTGGAGAGTGGGCTGGTGTTGTGGCGGACCGCGAATAGGTCGACAACAGGAGAAGACGCCAAAGAAGCAAGCTACGGGACGGCGGCGAGCTGGGAAGCTTTCATGGAGACACGCCGGCGCCGAATAAAGTTGGAGAGGGCATGTCTGGTCCCTGGCAGAGAGTAGCGGGGGGCTAGCCAAGATAGTAGATTAATGGATTGGGATGGTGCACATCAGAGTGGTCGGCATTAGCGTTGTGCTGCCACTGTCTCAATTGTAAGTATTGCGTAGAGTGTGTACTATGGACATAGCATGTGTAGTGTACAAATGTAATACACATATCCTGTAAGGGTGTGCAAAGGCGACAACCGTTTGGACAAGCCAAATGCAGATGCACGCAAAGACCTTGCATTCATACTATTCGCTTGATTACGCAGCCACATGGGCCATGGCCATTATCCAAAGGCCCCGCCTTGGCCGCTCCGTTCCAACGAATCGCCTTGCACAAGTGACTCCGCTCGACGTGTTTGATGCACATTCCATGGACAAATCCCCGAGGACCTTCATCCAGAACGGTCCAGTCCGCAGCATGTTCGCGTCCAGAATCCCACAAGCCACGTTTTTCTTTTCCCTCTCCCCATAGCCGACGCCATCGAAATGTCATAGCCTTCATGTTCTGGCCTCCAGGGGCTCCCTGCACACCATCGTTACACCACCTCTACATGTCCATCTCCACCAGCCTCTTGCATATTTTTAGTGTTCTTTTTCATTCTTGCACTCAGCTTCCTCTGCACTTATATTGCCACCAGAGCCCATCCATCAAGGAACGAACAAAGTCAAAGTCAAAGCGCCACTGACAGACTCGCTTATCGTAAGTACGGGTCTACTAATCCACCCCGGCCCGTTACTCTATGTACGATTGAGGCACAGTAGCGGCAGCCCACACGTGGTAAAACAAGGGATACCCGCTGCTAGAGCGCTTGATTTTGAAGCATATAAACCTAGTGCCCCTACTGCACACGCTCCATCCAAAAATTCCAAACGGACGCACGCGATACAATGTCGGGTTCTGGGAAGGGAAAAGAGAGGGAGGTTGTGGACGAGTCAATCGCTGTCTCACCATCCCCATCAGCGTCTTCCTCGTCAAAGCGAGTAGACACCCGTGCTACACCAACATCACAGGATCAGTTGCCTTCGGAGACCACAGAAGGCCCATCGTCCTACGCCCAACTCATTAATCCTCACGTGTCAGTTGTAAGTGACTGAATTCCTTGTCCATCTTACCAAAACCCCATGCAGTGGCAACATTCCAACACAGCCAGGACAACACCGAGGACGATACAGATTCAGCTCTAGGCGACGACGATACCGCCAGCGACACCACATCAATAGCCTCTTCCATATACAGGGGCCGCTTCGAAAATGGCCGCCGCTACCACAAGTACCGTGAAGGCGAAAACGACTACTGGGGCCCCAACGACGAAGTCCAAAACGACCAACTCGACATTGCCCACCACATGTTCTTAATCCTTCTAGGTCAGAAACTGCACTTGGCACCCATCAAAGACCCCAAGCGCATCTTGGATCTAGGCTGCGGAACAGGAATCTGGTGCATGGACATGGCAGATGGTGTGTCTTCTCTTCCTTTTTCTCCTTTTTCTCCTTTTACATAACGCCACCGCCTATCCCTCCATCCACAAACCATCCATTAAACTCAGCTCACACCACATAACCCCCCCTCCAGAACACCCTGGCGCCGAAATCCTCGGCGTCGACCTCTCCCCCATCCAACCCTCCTTCACCCCTCCAAACTGCAAATTCGAAATCGACGACGTAACCCTCCCCTGGACCTACTCGACCCCCTTTGACTTCATCAACATCCGCTCCTTATACGGCTCCATCCACTCCTGGCCCTCCCTTTACACACAGGTATTCCACAACCTAACCTCAGGCGGCTACCTCCACCAGCTCGAAATGTCAATCCAGTTTAAATCCGACGACGGCACTCTAACGCCCACACACGTGCTGTCGCAGTGGAGCGATATCTTCCACGAAGCCAGCAAGCGCTTCGGCAAGAGTTTCTATGAAGTCTGGAATTTATCAACGTATATTCGTAATGCGGGGTTCCAGGATGTCAAGGAGTACGTCTACAAGGTTCCTGTGAATAGTTGGCCCGCGGATCCCCATATGAAGGAGCTGGGCCGCTGGAATCTGCTGCATATTACTCAAGGAGCGGAAGGTTGGGGCTTATTTTTGCTGACCAAGGTAATGGGCTGGAGTGTGGAGGAGGCGCAGGTTTTCTTTGCCAAGTTCCGGAATGGTGTGAAAGAGAGGAAGGTGCATGCGTATTTTGAGGTGGTGGTTATACATGCGAGGAAGCCGTGAGGATTTTTTTTGGTTACATGGAGGTGAAGAAGAGAGAACTATGATTCCAAAACAAATGAGAATAAAACAGATACATTTTTTCATACAACTTGTGATTGATGATTTGGGTTGTTTTTATTAGAGAATTACTAAAAAAAAACCAGGGTATACGCACAGGGGAAAATGATCAATTTAACCCGAAAAGAAGAAAACACCTTTCTCATCCACGATTCAACGCTCTTACTTCCCCCCAGATGGCGGCGCCGCCGGTGCCTTTCCACCGTTTGGATCAGGAAGATGCGACACACTCGGCAAGTCACTCACACCTGCCGCCGACTGCCCCTCCTTCTCCCTACCATCGCTGATAATAAGCGGTTCCTGCGGCGGCGTCGCAGCTGCCGCACCCTCACCCTCTCTCGTCTTAATCTGAGACCCGAAAATCGAGTCGACGTCCCCGTTCACAGAGGGTGCGCCGCTGATATTACCTGCTTG